AGAAAAAAATGATGGCCTCCGCCTGCGCGTGGGGGGGGGGGGGGGGGGGGGGGGGGGGGGAGAAGAGTATCAGGATGCGTCCCTCAGCCTCCCGTTAGCTGCTGTCAATCATGTCTCAGTGGGTCCAAAAGAAGACGGGATGACAGAGAGCCGCCCTGAACTCATTCTGTCTGAACTGTTTACCCACATTATAAAGTTGTTTAATCCAATCTTTTTATTGTGAATCTTTTCTCTAATTACTGCTTGAACATTCAGTCCGAATCAGAGTAGGAAAAAGTTAATTTTTTGAGAGATTTTCGACACCATGGGAGAAACTACTAATGCATGTTGACACTACGGATAACTTCAGGCTGGTGATGAGTTGGCATTGAAATAGTTATCGGTTCCAAGAAGAGACTTAGAGCACCTCCTTAGCTTCAGTTGCAGTCCCCAATCAATTTCGCTCTCGTATTGCTCGCTGGAGTAGAAATGAGAGCGATTCCACTTTCTGATCACTAATGGAGCCAAGTGATTACAAGAGTTTTATCAGATTCGCAAAGCAAGATGTGATTGCAGAGAGCAGAGTGTGCTTCCTCCTTATTATTGTCATCTTGTCATTATCTTGATTTTTACTGTAGAAAAACATGAGAAACATGGAACAAAAGTAACATGAAGTATTTAATCCACAGTGCCTTGCAAAATTATTCATAAGCCTTCAACCTTTACACTTGTTGTTTGCACGTGTATCCAGGATCTTTAGTCCAACATCCAAGTAGTAAAATTCAGTGAAACTAAATACCTTTTTAGAAGTAATGTACTTTGAAAATGAAGTATAACTGTGTGAAAGCGTCAGAGGGGAAAGGAGAGCTGTCAGCATCATGAAGACACATCGGTCATAAATAAAGCTGTGGAGAATTTTTATTAAAAAACAATAACCAAACTCAGCATTTGAAATTGGAAAGAGCAAGACATGGCCGGCCACACAAATGATACAAGCAGTGATGAGGCCCATGATAACTCTGAAGAAGCTTCAAAGATTCACAGTTCATGTGGGAAAAATCTTTATTGTAAATTCTATGAATTTGCCCTTTTTGTACGCGTTGAAAGACGAAAGCCAACGTTGAAAGAAAGCTACGTGAAGTCCCGTCTGCAGTTTGAGTGGGGGAAACAACAAAGAAGGTGCTGTGATAAGATCAGGCCAAAATTTATCCAACAGGGACTTAGGAAGCTGGTCAAAGTTTATGGGAGGTAAATGGAGCTAAATCCAGCACCAAAAAGTATGTTCAAGGTGGCATAAATTATAATAAAAAATAAATCGTGCTTTGGTTGAGGTTCACCTTCCAGACAGACATACAACCTTAGACAACCAATTTGTCCTAAAAGAAAAAAAGCATAAAAATATATATTTTTAAACAGGATCACTAAGAGAAAATTACATTTTAAACTGAATTTTAAATGGTGCTAACTAAATTCAGAACAGGAAAAACCCACAGCAGGCCAAACTATCAACATTTGATGATAAAAGTGAGTAGAGCCTAAATTGCTAGGGGTTTCTTTTGCTGCATAAAGCCTCAAAGGGAATCAGACATCTTTCATGCCTCTGCTCCATCTGTCTGACCCAATTAGTTTCTCCGGACAGGTGAGCAGAGGCAGGATCGAAACATCGAAACGGGGAACCTTCGTTGACACCTGGTGTGGTGAAGAGGGCAAAGTTTAACATGTTCTTCTTCACTCTCATGAATATCTGCACCTACACACCTTGATGATTCGACACACACACACACGCACGGACATACGATGTCGGGCTCTTCTGTTTATCCCAACCCACTGTCCGCATACACAGAACAACAAGTGCAGCCACTCTCCCTCACTATCTTTGTTTATCCTCTTATTTCTTATTTTGCTGTCGAAACTCCTACTGCTGCTCGGGTGCTTTGCAAGGCGACGGTTTGCCATGAAAAGAAGCAGATAAGATGGAAGATGCTGCTGCCAATAAGAGATGTGAAATGCTGAAAGGTTTCCACTGTTTGTGGGTGACTGAATGAGCAGATGGGGAGAAGGAGGATTTGCAAAGAGAGAGAGAGAAGCCATTATTGAACAGTGAAGCAGGAAAATTGACTCAACCTTGAATTTGATGCATTTCTCCATTTACTATTAGAGATGCATCGATCAGAAGATTTCCAATCACTTCTGTGTCTTTCAGTCACTGGAAATTAACAAATTCAATAAAGTCCTCCAGATTTTTTTGACCTTTATGCTTCAAATGAAGGTCCTGGACCCTCTGCTACTGAGAGACGATTGCTTGCTCGAGGCGTGGATACAGTTAAAGTTTTACCTAATTTCAATCGCGGATATAATGCTCACGATGAAGTTTATCTGAAGTTGCCAGCGCTGTAAACAACCATCCTCCGGTGCGAAAGGAGAAGTGCTGAGCTGAATGAAATGACTGTTAATGTTAATTACTGAACGTCTTTGTTCACTTGCTCTGCTTCCGATGCCAAAACTGCAGGAGGAAAATCAAATCAACATCATCGTTCACAACTTCTCCTGTTCCCTGATTGGCCCGGTTGAAATTCTACTAAAGAAATCAAGCTCAATGGGAGAAAGCATGGACAGGGCATTGAAGGAAGATTAGAATCAAGTGCAATTGCGTAGAAAAGCAATTGCTAGGCTAGGACAGAGATATCACTACAAATAAAACCCGACTAAAAATCCCAGCAAGATCTAGAGAAACTCATCCAGGCATTTATCTTTAGTCGCACTGATGACTGCAACAGCGTCCTTATAGTTCTGCCTAGAAAATCAATCAGACAACTGCTGCTGATCCAGAACGCTGCTGCCTGTGTTCTGACTAAAACCAGGAAGATGGAGCACATAACACCAGACCTAAAGTCCCTACACTGTAAAGCTCCCTGTAGCTCAGAGAACAGACTTTAAAATACATCTGCTGTTGTTGTATCAAACTTCCAGACCCCTCAGGTCTTCTGGTTCTGGTCTGCTCTGCATTCCCAGAACCAGAACGAAACATGGAGAAGCAGCATTCAGCTTCTGTGCACCACAAATCTGGGACAAACTTCCTGAAAACTGCAAAACAGCTGAAACACTGAGTTCCTTTAAATCCAGACTTAAGACACACCTTTTTAGAGTTGATTTTGAAACATTATAAATGAAACATTGATAAACATTCTGGTGTGTAATAATGCCATCAGACAAAATGTTATGTTTGGATTGTCGACTGTGTCTTCTATGACTATATTTTATGATGTAAAGCACTTTGAACTGCCTTGTTGCTGAAATGTGCTATACAAATAAACTTGATTGATTGATTGATTGATTGATTGATTGATTGATTGATTGATTGATTGATTGATTGATTGATTGATTGATTGATAAGATATGTCATGCAAGATGAGTTGCATGACATATTGCTTTCTCGAACTTTACATCGACATTTTCAGCTGTCTTCATCATCTTCAACTACTATAATTAGCACGAATAGCTGTCAATTGTTTTCCAAGCAGACCCTGTTTGCTAACTTTGCTGCTGTCAGCACAACCTATTAGCGTGTAGCTGTTATGCATTCACTGATCAGTAGAAAGGGACCATTTTTAGTTTTCAACGACTCCATAACACATCAGGGCTGGTGAAGGAAATAATCGGATGATTTTAGTCATTGGTGTGTTTAAATTATGTGGATCACAACAATGTGAAAGTTGGGTTTTGCTTAAAAACTCAGAACTTTGGGGTTTGTTTGAGTATGTGTGTATTATTGAACATCAACTGTGGGAGACCAGCCAACCTACCTTTCATAGTCCCCGTTGCAGAGTGCTCTGACAGGGATGGAAAAGGGCTCCCACACAGGATTCAGGGTGTTCTTCACCACCTCAGTCTTGTGACAAATGGTAAACCTGGAGAAAAAGATCAACAGAAACTTACAACCCTGGAGGAGCACAGAGCTTCAAAACAAAACCAGGACCTAGAAAGAATCTCTCCACAGCAGCTTTGCTGTGTTCGAGACCAATTCTGTCCGCATGCATCTGTACGCAGCCGAGTTAAAAGAGGCCTCGGTATGAAATCTTTTGTACTCGACTCCTTTCATCTTGAATCTTTACGCACATCAGCCTGGCTTTAATCCCAGCACAGAGAAGCAGAATCCAGATGCAAACTCACGTGCCATCCTCGTTACTTCTATAGAAGACCATGAAGGGGTCTGACTTTCCAAAGAAGTCCTTTTTATCCAATTTGTTGGCACAGAACTGCATGGTGGCATAATCCTACAAAGGAAAAAACCACAGCGAGAGTAAAGGACATTGTAAATCCGTTCTTTTGCCTGTGTCCCTCCTGTTGTTTGTTTATACATGCTGTTTGCCAAGATATAAAAGCACTGAAGCACCAAATAACGGGCAAAAAATGCCAACTGAATTCTAATAGGAGCAGAGCAAAACCAACCACTGGGTTCTAGTTTGTGAAAATGTACAAATGCATTCATTACCATTTTTTTTATTATGCAACTCTTGCATCGAAAATACCTTTTGTGCTCAGTATAATAATAGTAACGATGTGAGGCACAGAAACGGATTCTAAAACCTCGTACATGCAGTAATAGGCTGGGAGCTGCATATGAGGCTACAGCCAACAATACACCAGAAAGGCTGGTATTATTATAATTATACTCATTTAGGCACCGATTCATTGTTCATTGCTGGATTAAGGACAATCTCTTTGCCTCCCAGCTCTCTTGATTCCTGATAGTTTCTCTATATTCTAAATATTAGTTTGCATTCCAGGATGATAAAGTGTTGGACGCTTAAATGATCACATGAGGAAAAAAGTGACCTCATTGATGGTCACTAACAAACTTCAGCTCATCACTATTTAAGCTTTGATAAGAAACCAGTCAATTAATACATTTCAAGGCAGGTAAAATCCTAAAAATGAAAGTTTTGTCTTAAATAAGATATATTTCACACACGTTTCACATAACTCTGGTGTCACCTAATATTTTTTTCTATATTTTTGAGCATCATTTGGCTCTTTTCAGATAACGTCAAATTAAACCAGACATATTTATAATTGCTACCACTTTAAAACACTCCCATACCTCTGACTTTGTGCATGTGTGACGGCTCAATGTGGATTCTTTGTTCAGCCTGACTACTAATTAAACCCAATGAAAATTACATACAACTGAATATGTCATTAATATCATTTTAAAACAGGTAAAAATTGACCACAGTGGGATTTTTCAACACCATCAGTCAGAATGAAAAAGTTGGATGAAACTTCTGCAAGACACACTTTTCTGAAACGTTCCCATATCATCAGCCAACAAAACTATTTTCCTCAAAGTCTTGCAGGCGTTTAAATATTTGTTGAGATCTTCAGTGTTATTTTTTTAGCTCAATATTTTTCGCATAGTAACTCTCCCATGGCTGCTGTTGTCTCTTTCTTCTTGTTGAGTCACAGACAATGAACTTTTACTAAGACAATAAAATCTGCTTTAGATGCGACTCTGGGTTCTTTGCTGACCTCTTTATGAGACATCTGTGTACCATTAGAATAATTTTGGTTGGCCGGCCGCTCCTGAGAAGATTTATTAGTGTTTAATGTTTTGTTTTCCATTTGTGGATAATGTCTCTCACTGGGGTTTAGTTACGTCTTAAAGCCTCAGAAATAGTTTTACAACCCTTTCAAGAATGATGAATGTTTTTGTCTATTCTTCAGTTACTTTAGATCGGAGCATGCTTTGAGTTTTTTGACATTTCTTAGACTTTGTCAAGTTTTCAAATTGTTATTAGGTTACTGTCTAGTAACGTCTTACTAAACGGTGGGTGTGTCCAGTGAAACTGAACTTAGCTTTTAAAAAAAAAGGCAAATCAAAGTTAATTCCTAATATTACAGGGACCGATTCCTTTGTCATTCATGGTTACATTGGTTTGGATGGGTATTTTTCTCCCTTTATAAAGTGAATCATAATCTAAAAATGGTATTTTGTCTGATAACATTTGTTTGATGGTCTAAATCATTCACCTGTGACAGATAAGCAAAACTGAAAAAGAAAGAAAAGAGTGCACATTATCTTTTAAGGACCTGCAGTTTCACTATTTCAATTGAATAAAATAAACATTTTATTATCATTGTGATGTATGGGTTGCACTCGTATTTCTTTAAGACACGCTGGGAAACATTCGAGAATAAGTGCTTCTTGCATACAGGGATGTAAGAGCTGCTATTTTTACCATGCACGTCCACAGGCTTCTAGCTTTTGATGCTGCTATTTGATCTGAATCAGCAATGTGCTGAACACGGCCTCTATCGATTGCTTTGACCCACATCAGTGCGGCACGGTCCGTCTGTGACCTACCTCACACTAACCCCTATCATATCCCTCAGACGCAGACGCAGCACCGACCCGACTGCTCTGTTGAGGCAACTGCAGAGAGAAAAGAGTGAATTCCCATCCTGCACGAAAACACTTCGGAGTATCCTGCTCAAAACGAGCTAACTTCGTTATCTTATTCTTTTGTTCCAATAATAGTTTTTGATTTTTCAAATCAGCACAGATTATGGCGTAATAGAGAAAAGCTCATTAAAACAGCCCATGCTGTCAGCTGAAGTGGCTGCTGTTCATCTGCTTTCATTTCCTTGCGTCATTTTCAATTATTATCATCGTTTTTTTAAACCACCAGGCAAAAACGGTAGGGGGAGTGCTGATAGGAACCAAACCTATGGAGAAACCCACTGCGCTTTTTAAAACCTAAACTATGTCAAGCTGTCCCTTGGTGGCTTCTCGCAAGAACATCTTATTTCACATGTTCCCATTTGGTCTATTTATACAAATAATGCAACATAGCAAAAGAGTTTGCTTGTGTCGGTTGCCGAAGCCCTTTGGAGCTGTCCAAAACCCACCGTGCAACAACCCTGATGCAACCTCTACAATCAAACTATCATGGCAACAGTGCGCCTTAAGCCCTCATTAGGTGCAAGTAACACATACCCACTTTGGTGCTGTGCAGTGTTCCCTCATTAAGTGAGGGGAAAAAAAGCAGAACATTCATTTCAGCCACTGAGGTTCAGCAACAGCAGCAGCAGCAGGGGAATACAGAGTGCAGTCTGCATGCTTTTCTCTGCTTTATCCAGATAGCGCCGCACAGGATAAGTGGCAGAGCGATGCTCCCTGTCAGTTTCCCCAAAGTGGGGCTCTCCTTTCAAAGGGCCACAAAGCAAGTCAGACAAAACCTGAATGCATGTTACATAAGCTTCCATGGCGTCTTCAGGACAGCAGAGTGCAGTGAATCACCCGGCGAATCACGTGCCAAAGCATTATGTGGACATTAACGCAGCTCTTTTGTGTGTTTCACGCATCAATCCATTTCCTCTGTTTGCATTTGTCTGTGATGAATAAAAGACAGAAGACGAGCATTTCTGCAAATGTGAGGATGAGTTTGGTTCATGAAAGCACAGAGCGACATTTGACTATCTGAATTCAGTGCAAAACTGGAAGTATTTGCATAAGAAAAACACCTGACATAATCATAATCATTCAGAAAATAGGATTTAGTGCAGGGATATACAGTAATTCATGTTTTTATCCTCCATGATTGACTTTCTGGTGTTGCTTTATTCATAAAGACAAATGGATACAACTGAGAGCAAGCCTCCCATAATGCAGAAGTATTCATATTCCTTTAACGTTTTTACGTTATGCAACCACAGGCATCTTGGGGGATTTTATATAATCGATAAGCAAAAGCAGTAAATGATTGTGATGCAGAAGTAATAAAAAGTCAGCATTTTAATACATTTTTTGTAGTAATAAAACTTTGGAAATTATATGTAGCCAACTTTACTGTGATACCACGAAATAAAATTCAGTACAACCAGTGGTTTCAAAAGTCACCTAAAAAAGTAAATAAAACCTGTGTGAGTAATTAACTGTCAGTATAAATGCAGCTGTTCTGTAAAGGTCTAAAAAGTGTTTGGTAAAGTTTCAAATTGGGGTTACCTTATGAAACAATTTTTATATAATACACCGAAACATTATTGGTACATTATAATGTTTCAATAAAATCCCAAACCTAAATCCAACTGAGAATCTGCTGTAAGGTTGATGTTTAAACACACAGACCGTCAAATCTGACTGCATGGGTAAAATTGGTAAAGACATAATTCAAAAGACTAGAGGCTGTTAATGTACCAATGATTTATCTAAAACAAATCCGTACAAAATACTATTACATTTTGGGCTTAATTTAATGTGACAACATTTGAAAAATTGAAGGGAATACACACATTCCTTTTCAAGGTGGCGCTGTTGTTTGTAAAATATGTATGAATTATATCTCTTACTATGTGCCTAATATTTTTATTAGCAATATCCTTGAGAATAAAGCTAAGTATCTGCTTTTCTACCATATGAATCCTGCATTGAACTTTCCTTAAATTCTCTACTTGCTATGCCTAATCCATTTGTGGTGTGCGCACTGTGGTTTCCAGCTGGAATATGCAAAGAGGTTTTCTTAAAACTTAAACCAGAAGGAGCTGCAGAGAGACCAGGAGGAAGATCTGAGAGGAAGCCAACCGCCGCTCATATGTACAGGAGGAAACGGCAGCCAGGAGGAAGTCTTTGATCCATGCAAAGCCTGTTGCTCTGTCTAATGATACCTGGCAAATTCACCACAAAGGCTCAAGCCAACCCTGCAGAACTTCCCACTCCGCTCAATTTTTCCTTAAATAAGAGCTGCAGGCAAAGCAGTACCTCAGCTGCCGACTTATTGGTCACAGGCGGATTAATTGATAAACACCGTCCAGATGGACGGCAGGAATCCTAAGCCATCGCATTTTGGTCATGTGGGACATCGCCCGACAGCAGCATCTTCACATCTACTTATCTGTCTTTTATTCTAACTGCGCTCTCTCAAGCTGCCGAGGTAATAATGTCTTTCAGGGTTAAAAATCTGTGCAAACAGGGCAGGTCTGGAGTGGCGCATCTTTCCATCCCTAATTGGCCAGAAACAGTCATTTGTACCGGTAATGATCATTTGCATTTATATTACTAATTCGCCTCCTGAAGAGGCGCTTTGCACTGATGTTGCTAACCACCATCATTGCAGACGCAACGCACCTCACGGAGGGCCCTTCAATGAGCAAGAGCGCCGACACATGAGCGTAACAGGGCAGCTTATAGTGGCAGGTTCATTATCTGCATCAATCTGATCTGCCTCTTCCTAACAGAAGACTATTTAAAACAAAGTCAGACAAGTCAAGTCAGGTAAAACTGCAGTCAAACTCCATGAAAGTACAAGTGAATTAACATAGCTTTGAACTCTCAGAGTATTACACGTTATGTGGTGCAATAAAACACGTATATGGTCACTTAGTGGGTTACTGTACAGCCTCTAAGGGAGGCCCAGTAGTGCTGCCCAGAATATCTTACTGCTCTCTGCTGCTATGCTGGCACAGCCATAATGCTGTTATTTACTATCTTCATTTGGCACTGAGGAGAGGAAGCCAGCGAGTATTACCGGACACTGGTTATTAATGTGGACTCGTGGATTAACACCACACAGCAGAGTAAAGGCCCAATTTAGTGATTGGAATAAAGGCGGTCTCATTAAATAACAATTCATGCTTGTAGCATACTCACTAGGTACACAATTTGCAAATGACAAACGCGTTCGCTCGGCAACACGGCGTATCCTGCTCATTTAATGAGAACATTTATGATACGATACATCTCACCGACGGCACAGATATGAAACATCCCGCTTCACAAAGGCGTGTGGGCAAACATGCATTCGCACCACTTTGTGTGTCATATTAAAGCCTGATATGCCTTTGTTTAGGTGGACGGATAAAAAAAAATAAAATATCTCATTTATTAAAAGCATTTATTGTAAAAGAAATTAGAAAGTAAACGGGTCAAAACTTTTTGGACTTACTCTGCAGTTTCCAAGCTCTTCAGCTGATAAGATTATGGTTCCACATGTCTTCCCAGGTATGCCCCTGTGGGGGGAAAAACAAATCATTTAAACTTTTAATAAAAGCAACGATCCACTGCGCACCCTTAAATTTTTATCGTAGCACAATCTTCCCAACAAATTCTTCAGAGTAAAATCTGACATAGAGTTATAATTTCCAGGGACAGGTTTCACTTTTTCTTGTAGTTCTGACTTCTTTATTCTTTTTTTGTTAAAAAGTTTAGGGATTTTTTTCCTACACATTATCGTAAATTACTATTACCCTAGTTCAGCTATAATTTTGAAGCTTTTAAGAGTTGCTTGTGTTTATCTTCGACTTATCTAGCAGCAAATCGAAGGGTCTCTGCCCAGATGTGTTTTCATATCTCACCTTGTTCAGGGACTTTCTTGTAATATGTCAGCTAAATAATATACGAGTCAATTTATACAGATTTATTGCACATTTTTCTAACACTTTTATGAGGTGACTTGCCATATTTCAGCACTTCATGCACTTGTGAATAATATGTGAACTAAATTTAAGTGAACGCAGAACAAAATGGATTTTCAATTTATCAATCATACAGTAGCTCTCCCGCTGCTGACATCCTGTCATCTTTTTAGAGTAAAGAGGGAAATTACATGCAAGTCCTGCTGTGGCCTTAGCTGGAGTCCAATCATTAAAAGGTCAAACTTGCTGCGGATCCTCGTCAAGCTGTGACAGCTGACGTGGCTGTCACCTAACGCTGGATTCTGTCCGTCTGAACCAGAAGCAGTTTGTCGCTGCAGCAACAGAGGCTTGCGTTGCAAACAAAAGCTCAAACTTTCAGCATCTAAACATTCAAGAATGGGTTAGACAAAGAAGGCCATTAGGAAAGCAAGAGTGCTTTTCTCCCTGCACAAGAAATGTTGCCGTTCCTGCTGGTTTTACAGTTCCAGCTGATTCCACTGCTGTTTCTCTCAATATCCAGTCCTGTAAAACATCTAGTAAAACGCACCATTAAAGTAAATCAGCTCTCTAAGGCGTCGAGTTTGATCAATACCTCTACATAGATCCTGCATCCAAAGGATCCAGCTTTAAGTGCTGCACTATCTTTGTGGAGGAAATGTGTGAAGTAAGGCAGCTGTAGTCGGAGGGCAGACATATTTAATTCTCCCGCTCTATCTTTTAAGGTCCGCGGAGACTCCACTCAAGGTGAATTAACTTTCCTTGAATTATCGATGTTTCGCTCCTCCGACCATTCGCACATCAAAGAGTCCGTAAAATGCCCGGCGATAAACCCAGTAAACACAGCAATAGAGGCCAACTTATCTCCTTATAAAATCAAAGCAATGGCCAGCACTCCCATCAAACCGGGAATTAAAATCAAGTGAACGTTCAAGAATCGGGGTCGAGACGAACCACTCTGCCGCTGATAAGTGAGCAGGTACCAAGGGGCCGATGGTCTTTTAAATTAGTCATGGATTATTGAACACCACGTTTTCTCCGGCGCCTTCTTGTTAAAATGTGAAGAGCAAGCACAAGCTGAGCGCATAAATAAGTTCCTTATTTGCTGACGTGTCCGGCATGTGACTCTTTGCAGGTTTCCTTACGAGATTGGACGTTTGGTGATGTGAAAGCTCTTGCACTAAACAGACCTCATTCTCTCCACATTCATTCACTGACAAAACTTTGGGGAGGAAAACGATGATGATGATGATGATGAAACGGTTTGAAATGCAAAGAGGTGGTCTTGCTTTCTGTTCATGAACAGGGTGAATGCTAAGAGGAGCTGAGGGAATCTACGCAGCTGCACATCGGAGCATTTGAATATGTATTTGAATCCTAACCCTAACCCTAACCCCTAACCCTAACCCTAACCCACATCAGAGCAGAACATTCAAGAACAGCAGAAAGTCTACGCATCGAAATGTGTGTCTGCAAATGTCTAAGCTCACTTTCTTAGTAAAAATCCCGATTCGTGAAATTTGGACATGGGACAAAAAATAACAGTAAATCATGAAGCAGTTAATATATACTTTAAGAATCAAGAAGAACGTACCTGAGGAATTGACACCTAATTTAAGGCAGTAATGTGTTTCAGAAGGTGCCATAATTTTGAGGCGCTGCAACGCTCGACACCATTTGCATTGCTCCATAATTCATACAGTCACTCCTGTTTGCACCCAACAGACTCTGTGCCATATGGTCCTGACCAACCCAATGCAAAACACCAACGCGCACAATGTTTATCGATTCCGCCTGAAGGCCTTAGCGTGCCTCGTGTTTACACTCGGAGCAGCTTCACGTCTGCCGTCACCTTTCAGAAGAAATTCACGACATCAAACAAATCCTCGCGAGGAAGACAGACAGGAGAAGACAGGGATGAAACAGGACCTCGTGGTACAGCATCGTCCTTCATCAGCAAAACAAGCAACAGGAAGAACAGCTGTCATGCTTGTCAGTAATGCTGAAACAGAAAGGTAGCTGCAGCCGTCCTGACAGGGTCTCTGTTTGATGAAGTGAATCGAAACAGATCAAGCAGCATATTTCAGCTCATTGCAGTCTCCTGCAAAACCTTTTTTTTTTTTTTTTTTTTGAGATTGTACAAAGAAAACTTGTGCTCTCTTTTAGCCCAGCAAGAGCACGAGCATGATAATAGTCATTAATGTTGCAGGTATTCCGGTTCGGCACGAGGCATCTATAATTTTCCCACCAGAGGTCGTTCGCAAAGCAACTGTTATTTACAAAGTCTCCGTTTTCCGTTCCCTGACGGCATGGGGCTGAGATAGATGGAGGTGGGTGAGTTTAAAGTCCAAAGAGGGAAAAGGAAGCTATTGATGATGCAGTTCACACCAGGTCATTAGGATGAAGAATGGTCTTGATATTTAACAGCCCAGAAACGTGTCACGCATACAAAAGTGAGGGCGGATCATCCTCTCGATGAGATGAGTGAGAATCCGACAAAAAGAAAATTATCCTTTCACGCTGCAGTTGTTGCTGGGTTTGCTTTTTTATGTTTGGTTCTGAAATGGAATAAGAGCAAAAAGCATTAGTTTTGTAATTTTACACTCAAGTAGAGATGAGCTTATTAAATATATTGTTTTGTGGGGTAGGCGCAATTGCACTAGGAAATAACAGGAGAAAATGATTTGATTGTTTTATTTTCCTAAAAGAAATTAGTGATTGTTCTGGGCAGCGACTGGATAACAAGCAGAATGTAAACAGAACCGTAAAAAAAAAAACAGTGTTTTATAAGGCTCGACGAGCTCTTTGGGATGAAGCATGTGATTCTGTTTTCTCCTGTTGGTTAAATTAATGTTTTAGATTCTCAAACTAATTTTAATGTTAGACTATTTTTGAGTAGATACAAAATATAGGTTTCAAATTATGGTTTTCTTTTATGGAAGGGGATAAACAATCCAACTCAACATGAACCTCATGTGCCATTCTTGGTGAAAACCAACCTGAGTTGTAATATCTGGGGAAAGAAAATCTCTTTGGGTACAGATTTTCCCCAGTCTTTTATGCCAAATTGTTTTAAATCAGCCCCATTTCACTTTTTTTCCCATGTTTAAGGTGATATTCATTTGGCAGGCCACTCAGAAATCTCTCTTTTTTAAGTATTGTCAGTGATGGATTAGCTGGTGTGCTTTGGATGACTGCACAAGTTTAAATCTCAAACTGATGGCCTGATATATTTTCTGGTACAGAGAAAAGCTGAATTGTGGCATGTAGGTCCTAAAACAGCAAAGCAAGCCTGGTGCATCGGATTAGCACCGTTATGTTTGGCTGCTTCTCTCGTTTGTTTTGTTTTTGTTTTGTTTTTTTTTGTTATTTTCAAACCAGATGTGACAGGACACACCCCTTCCAAAAAGTTTCAGATTTGTGTGATAAGAGTACAGAATATGGATATTTACAATGTTTTGACGGAAAACGTGAGACTCATTTTCTGTGTCCTGTTTGGTAATTTAGCTTATGACTCTCCCATGGAGGCCATTTTTTGCTCAGCGTCTTTCTTATTGCTGAACAAAGAACACCGACCTCAACTGAGGCCTGCAGGGTTCAGATGTTGCTCTGTGTTTTGTGACTTCCTACATTAACCCTCTTGGTTCTTTTGGTAAGATGGCCACTGCTGGGAAGGTTAACCACTGTTCAAAATTGCTTTGTAACTCTTTCTATATTAATGAAGTGATTTGCTTCCAATCACTTCTTGAATTTCTTCAGATGCATCATCATGCTTTTTGAGAACTTTTAGCCTTCTTCATGCTATCAGGCAGGTACTAGCTAAGATATTCCTTAATTTTACAGCTAATCAGGCCTGAGTGTGTCTACTCAAAAAGAACCAGTGAAATGAAAGCAATTGTGGTTAATTCATGACTTAACCAGTGGACTAGTTAGCTTTTACTTTGGGTCAAGTTGGTCTGGATAGCTTTTTTTTCCCCCTTAGAAAATGAAACTATAATTTGAAAAGTTCATTTTTATTTATTCTGGTTATTTTTGTCTGATGCTACAGTTTGTTTGACAATTAAAAACTGTCTGTGTGACAAAAGAAAAAGAAAAAATGGGGAAATCATAACCAACATAGCACTATCATGAAATCAAACCGTTTTGAGTAGATTCAGAGAGCAACAAAAAGGCGACAGCAGCTGATTTGACTTTGTGCCACTGTAAATGTTTGGGGCAGTGGGCAGATCATAGCTGAACAGAATTAGAGAGGGTTCCCAAAACTCTGTGCGGGTTTAAATGGGATTACGCCTCTAATCCCCCTGATCTACATACCTCGATAAGCATTCATAATCCCTCACCTCTACAGGATTATAAAAAAGATGATGAAAAGTGCGTTGACTAATTCTAAATGGCACCAGAGGATACGAGCGGTGGTTCTCGGAGAGGAAAAGAGCGCGGCTCCACTCTGGTAATACAAGATGAGCTCCTGTTTGTGTTTCAGGAAAGGTAACAGCCGGCAGCATCCTGCGTGAAAGCACTTTGAACGTTTGGCAGAATGAGCTCAAGCCAAGTAAGAAGAAAATGTAATACGAAGGAGAAGAGAGACGTAAAAATAT